AATAAAATATTTAAAAAAAAGAATTGATTTTATATTCCTGATCAAGTTGCTGAAATGTAGCAATGGGATCAGGAAATCGGTTCCCTGGACATGAATTTTGTCTTTATTCTGGAAGTTTACCTTTTCCTTTCTGAGATGTTCCAATTTCCTGAAGTTAGTTTTTTTCTCCTTTGGCTTTGTTTTTCTTCAGTCTTTGCTTCCACAGAGGATGTCCACTGTATGGTAGTGCTGCCTTATTGAGCAGGAATTTTCTGAAATCATCTTCTTTCTCCTTTTCTTGCTGGCTCTTCTGAAAGGGCCCCTTTCTGTTTCTTCTTCATTTTGAAGAACTTGTTCTCAAAGAAGTCCAGTCCCTGAAGTACCTCCGAAGAGTTAGAATCATACTGCCTTTTTCCTACTAGAATCGAGCTGCGTCTGCTGGAAGTATTTCAGTTGAGCTTAGGCCCACTCCAAGCCAGCAAAAGAGATCGTGGATATCCATCTTTACCCAGAATACCCCAGTTCTTTTTTTTATAGATCACTCTTTTTTGTTTAATTTATCATAAGTAGCATGTCTTCCCAAGTTTACTGTAGTTCGTCTCTTTTTAAAAATTTTCTTAAAGTCATTACTTTGAGTATGTATCATGCAATTACATACCCCTTGAAGGTGATATTCCAATGAGTGAAGAATGTATTTAAGCCCTCTATTGAAAAGTTGTTCATTCATTGATCAAAGCACAATTCCTGAATTGCACTAGTTATGTTTCATCAGTGGATTTGAGTTAGCATCCTGTCATAATTTGAATATTTTTTTCTCACTTACAGGACAGTGCATGACCAAACCTGAGTTGATCTTCAAGCTAGAGCATGGATTTGGGCCATGGAATGTAGCAGCAGCCTCTGTCCAGAGCCTCCCAGGTCAGTGAATCCATCCTGAGCAAGGAAGGTCAGAGAGACTCCAGCTCATCAGACATTGTTCATGTTGAGCTCGTCCCATGAACATTTGTTCAAACCCAGTCCAGATGACAGCGGATGTGGTGGAGCAGACAGGTGACTTTTGCAGTTTGTGGAGAGGTTTAGCCAGGTCAGTTCATCTTGTTGATTTTGATTTTTTAAAAATTTTTTTAATGAATTACATTCTTTTGGCAAAAATGCAGTCTCTGTAGATCTGAGACATTTTCTTTTTGGCTTTTTGAGATAGGGTCTTAGGGAACCAAGTTTGGTCTCAAACTTGCCATAGTGCTGAGGCTGTCCTGGAACTCATGATTTTTCTGCTTCTACAACCCAGTTTCTGGGACAAAAGATGTGCTATATACACCCAGGTGGTGAGATAATTTCATTGGAGAGATCATGTATCTAAATTCTCAGTTGTCCTTTTTTCCTCTCTTGTTTTACATCATGCTTTTTTTTAAATCAGTCCTTTATCAGCTTATTCTTCCAACCCTTGCATCAACAGCTGTCTTTGTAATTGTGATGATACAAATGGTACTCATACGAATGCATCTTTCCAAGAAAAGTAAGAAAAGATGTCATGTATCCTGGGAAAATAGGGCCACTAGAATGTTTGTCAGGAGAAGAGAATACATACAGTTGTATTTTAGAAGTCTTAAAACTAAGTCAGTATTAAGGAAGTATTCATTTAGTTTAACTTTGAGATGACTTTCAAAATTAGGCATATAACACATGGGTGAATGTAATTTAAGATTCATAGTGACCATGGTTAGAACGTAGATAAAGTTTGGAAGTCTGTAGCCTCAAGAATATTTAATACAGTACATGTTGCATCCATCTATAGAATTTATACAAAAATGAGAAAAGAAAATTTCCAGGGTAATATGACAGATTAAAAGTTTTTTCCATGTTATTACATAGATGGGAAAATTAAGGTTAACAGAGGAGATAATATAGTGCAAGGAGCAATCAAGGGAAAGAGTGCTAGTGATTGAAAAAGAGGTCTCAGGACAGCTTAAAAGCAGATAAACAAAAGAACAATTCACAGAAAAATAGGGACCAACTCACACTTCAAACCTCATGACCCAGGTGGGAGTAGAAGCCAACTGAGGTTACAGAGAGAAATTGTCTTACCCCCTGCCAACACAGAGCATTTTTGGTCTTCTATGTATAGGGACTTAGCACCTGAACATAGAAATATCACCTTTCTTAGTTGTATCCCTTGATTTCTTTTGCTTCCTTTACTATTCTGGCTATGAAATTAGTATCTATTTTAAGAAGACCAAAAAAAAGTAAACATTCTATATCTTTGCTTAATATAGGCAGTGATCTTAGGAGAAGCATTCAACAATCATTTATTGTTAGTACTTTGAATAGTTGAGTCTCTGCAGTAACCACAGTCCATTGTAAAAATAAGCTTCTATGACCAAATCTGACATCAGCACAAATCTATGGACAAACACCAGGCTTAGAGTACCCAGTGTGAATTCCTTCCTGTAAACTGGCCTAAAATACAAAGTGGTTGGATGCACCCATTGCAGTCATGATACTATTGTACCACTGGGTACATCTTACCTGGCATTATAGAACCATTACTGCGTTCTACATACAGGGTTCATCAAAGCTGAACAAGACTGCCGATGACAGTTACTGCCCTACTAGCTTACTTTCCAGCATAAGGGTAGCGAGCAAAGAGGTAGCTTAGAGCTCAGTTCCACCTTAATTATTTCATGTTTTGCAAACAAGCATGTTGTGTCTTCAACAGTATGATCTTCCCATTAAGTTGTAGTCAACAACAAACACTAGTGACTATAGCTGCTGTAGTTTGGGTGGTTCCAGTGTCCTCCCTAGGAGGTAGTCTGTGCCTGGCACTAGAATTTTCTGTTAATAATCATATTTATTACCCTATCTTATAAGTTATTTTCCGATTATTTAAAGGGTATTGTTCAATCCACATATATGTGTAGTTTAATTACACTTGCTACTGCTATCTACATATATTCCATCACATTTCTTTTTTTCTTTTTCTTTCTTTTTCTTGTTGGTCTTTTTGAGACAGTTTCTCCCTGTAGCTCCAGCTGGCCTTGAACTCAGATTTGCCTGCCTCTACCTCTCGGGTGCTGAGATTAAAGGTGTGTACCACCACATCTGGCATCCATCACATTTCATGATACAAAAACTTTCAGTTTTCTTAGCATTGTAAGACAAGAATTTGCATTTGGGGCTAGAGAGATGGCTGAGCAGTTAAGAACACTTACTGCTCTTCCAGAGGACCCAGGTTAGGTTCCCAGCACCCACATGGTGGCTAACAACCATCTGTAATGTGGTTCCAGGGGATTTGATGACCTCTTCTGGCTTCCATGGGCACTTGAACACACATGGTACACTTAGATAAACGCAGGCAAAACATTCAAACCATTAAAATAAAATAAATCTTAAAAGTGGGGAGTGGGTCTGGAGAGGTGACTCAGATGTTAAGGGCACTTGTTCTTCCAGAAGACCCAGATTCGATTCCCAGCACCCACATGGTGGCTGTTGCCCTCTTCTTGCCTTCATAGGCATTGAACATATGCTAGGTATACACAAAGGCAAGCAAACAATTGTACAAATAAAAATAAATTATTAAAAAAAAAAGAGGGACAGGCATGATGGCACTTTATTATTATTTTTTTTTGTCTTTTTGAGACAGGGTCTCCCTGTAGCCCCAGCTGTCTGGCCTCGAACTCACAGAGATCTACCTGCCTCTGCCTCCTGAGTGCTAGGATTAAAGGTGTGCGCCACCATGCCTGGCTAGTTGCATGTCTTTAAAAAAGGAGAATTTGCGGGGTACCGCGCATACCAGCCAGTTGGTGTGCGTGTGGGCCCGCTTAAAAAAAAAACCAAAAAAAAACAGAGAATTTGCATTTCATAGCCAGTGCATTCCTAGTGCATTCCATACTAGTTGAAGTTTACCTGTGATTACACATACATGATAGAAGATCGAATTATGGAAGCTGCCAATTAAGACCACTTTCTCTAAAAGGAGATTAAATGGAATGCAAAACCTAGGAATCTTGGCAAAAATGTTGCAAACATTGAAAGAATCAAGACCAAGATAACTGTAACTTCTCTGGTGACTTTTTCCAGACAGTATGTGAAATAACCCATCAAAAATATTTCAAGATTAGTAATCCTAGGGCTAGAGAAATGGATCAGCAATTAATAGTACTTGATACTCTTGCAAAGGACCAACATAGGGGAAGGCACTAGCTTGGTGATCTAAGTATAATCCTCAGAACACACAAAAAGGTAGGAGAGGGTCTGGAGAGATGGCTCAGTGATTAAGAGCACTGGCTGTTCTTGCAGAGAACCCGGGTTTGAATCCCACACCCATATGGTGGCTGACAACCATCTGGAATGCCAGTTCCAAGGGATCCAACGCCCTCTTCTGGCCTCTGTGGGCATCGCACAACATGGGGCACTTACATATGTGCAGGCAATACACTCATACACATAAAGTAAAAATTTTAAAATATTTTTTGGACCCAGGTTCAATTCCCAGCACCCACATGGTGGCTACGAACCATCCTTAACTCCAGTTCCAGGGGAATCCGAAGCCTTCTTCTGACCTCCGCAGCATTGCACAACACAGGTGCACTCA